GGGGGGGGGCGGTTCCCAAAAAAATCAGAATTCCGATTTTAATCGGAACAATATCATGTCTGTGAACACATGAATGGAACATTGAATGAAGATCATGAACAGTTCCTCAGAACATGGCTTCTCCAGCTTACTCCTTGCTGCCAGATACTTGACAACGCTTCCTCTCACATATCTGAGCCACATTTGGCTTGAGAGAGGAGGCACTTGAGACCCTCAGTATGGCTTGAAGATGATCATCAGTAAGTCTGGACCTGTACTTGGACTTGTTAAAGTTCAGGGTGGAGAAGAAGCCACGACGAGGAACGGCGGGCGGGACTTCCTTCAGAGGTCCATTCCCCCTGCGGGCCGCACTAATATTATACTTTCACATCATGGTGGGGGCCACAGGATATCGTCCTGCGGGCCGCAATTGGCCCGCGGGCCGCGAGTTTGAGACCCCTGCTGTAAAGCATTGTGAATGTGAAGCAGTACATAAGTCTAAGGGCTATTGCTATCTTTTATAATATTGTTGAAAAAGATCACCGGCTGAGCCCGAGGGAGGGGTCAAACAGATCATAAGTCTTGAGTCCCTTTGTGCCCACAAGAGATTTAAGTCCAGCTCTCCTGGAATTTGTTGCCAATTTGCCTTCAACGTTAGTAGTTGGGATCTTGTATGCAGCTTTATGTATAATAATCCTATGTATTCATTTGAACTGCCTGGACTCCTGGTTTCCTGAGTTTGACAATTGTTTGATTGGATTGTGAGCCACCCAGAGTCACGTGACGCTGAGGTGGACGGTGAATAAATTTAATAAACAAATAATATTTTTTTAAAAAAATCCAGTGCACATTTCTACTGCGGCATCATTATTATTCATTGTTATCTTTCTTTTTAGAAGCCAGTACTGACTAAACAAAGAGCTTCTAAAATGCCAGAGATAAATATAACATTAACACGTACATGTGTACACCATTCAATCCAAGCCATTGTATCAAACGACACTATTAAACAATATCTCATTTTCGGAGATCCACTCTGATGAAATAATAGCTGTCTATTTTTGTTCAATGTCATACTGCTCAATTGTACAGTCAAGTTCACGTGCCATTTTTAAGCAAAAGGCAGTTAGCGGTCTGAATTCCAAAATGTTATTCGTTAAGCTTTTAAAGTTTTGTTGAGTGTCCTTGAACGCAAACGCAGGAAGACAAACAAAATGTCTTAATCTTGCCTGTACAATCGTGAAGCGGGGATTATGCCCTTGGGTAGTTTAAAGGCTTTAAGGTAATGGTACAGGTTCCCCTGGCACATATGTGCTAATCATTTCTGGCTCTAGAGGGCGGTGCTCATCTCTGTTTCAAAGCCAAAGAGCCAGCGCTGTCCAACGACGTCTCCGTGGCCAGCAAGACTAAACGCCAAAGGCGTACGGAACGCTGTTACCTTCCCACCAAAGTGCTCCCTATTTTTCTACTTGCGTTTTTTTGAACTGCCAGGTTGGCAGAAAGCTGGGACAAGTAACTGGAGCTCACTCTGTTACACGGTGCTAGGGATTTGAACCGCCAAACTGTGAAGCAGTATATAAATCTAAGTTGCTATTGCTATTGCTATTGCTATTTCTCTTCCTTCCTCCCTCCCTCCCTCCCTCCCTTCCTTCCTTCCTTCCTTCCTTCCTTCCTTCCTTCCTGACAAGCTCAGCATCTTAGCCACTGAGCCACCGCATCCCGGTTTAAAGGCTTTATTTAATTCCAAATTATTTTTTAAAAATGTGTTAATTATCATAGCCACCAATGTCAAGGAAATAAATTCATTAGGAAAAATGACACAGTCTACTACATGGATTTTGCCACAAGCGGGAGCCGTCGGAGGAAACCATACCCACCAAGAGTTGATCAAATGGGTTATTTCATACTTACATTTTGTCCTGACCACCCACTCGCAGCGTCAGCCGGGGTATCACAGGAGATGGGGCAGGTATAACAGGCTCGATTTTGATCTGCTAAAGGTAAGAAATTCCAGGGTTAAAATGGGGTATCGGCTATCAAGAAAAGTTCATGTGTTGTATTGGATTAGGCGGAGCTGCAGTGGTGCAGTGGTTAGAGTGCAGTACTGCAGGCTCCTTCTGCTGACTGCCGGCTGCCTGCAATTTGGCAGTTCGAATCTTACCAGCTCAAGGTCAACTCAGCGTTCCATCCTTCCGAGGTGGGTAAAATGAGGACCCAGATTGTTGGGGGCAAGAGGCTGACTCTGTAAACCGCTTGGAGAGGGCTGTAAAAGCACTGTGAAGCAGTATATAAATCTAAGTTGCTATTGCTATTGCTATTGCTATTGCTATTTCTATTCCTTCCTTCCTTCCTTCCTTCCTTCCTTCCTTCCTTCCTTCTCTTTCCAGTGGTTACAATGCAGTATTGCAGGTTAATTCACTGCTCACTGCCAGCAGTTCGATCCGAGGTGGGTAAAATGAGGATCCAGATTGTTGGGGGCAAGAGGCAACCGCTTAGAGAGGACTGTAAAGCACTATAAAGCAGTATATAAGTGTAAGTGTTATTACTATTGCTATTGCCTTTCCCTTCCTTCCTACTCCCAATCTCCCTCCTTGAATGCAATATTACAGGCTGACTCTGCCCATTGCCAGGAGTTCAATCCTGACTGGCTCAAGGTTGACTCAGACCTCTGAGGCAGTATATAAGTCTAAGTGCTATTGCTATTGCTATTGCTATTGCCTTTCCTTCCTTCCTTCCTTCCTTCCTTCCTTCCTTCCTTCCTTCCTTCCTTCCTTCCTTCCTTCCTCCCTCCCTCCCTCCCTCCCTCCTGACTGGCTCAAGTGGATTCAGCCTTCCATCCTTCCGAGGTGGATAAAATGGGGACCCGGATTGTTGGGGGCCAGAGGCTAATTCTGAAAACCACTTAAAGAGGGCTGTAAAGTATTGTGAAGAGGTACATAAGTCTCAGTGCTAGTGCTAGCAGGGGGTCTCCAGAGTTGGCAACTTTTAAGACTTGTGGACTTCCAATTCCCAGACTCGGCAAAGGTGAGGCGGGGGAAAACATGTACAGGTAGCCCTTGCCTTACAACAGTTCACTTCTTAGGTGACATTATCTCCATCAGGGAAGAAACAGCTGCGTGAACGCACAGGTAGTCCTCGACGTACGACCCCAATTGAGCCCAACATTTCTGTCCCTAAGCGAGAGACAGTTGTTCGGTGAGCTTTGTCCCATTTTACGGCCTTTCTCGCCACAGGGGTTAAGCGAACCGCTGCAGTGGTTCAGTTAGCAACACGGCTGTTAAAACTGAATCTGGCCTCCCTGTCGACTTTGCTTGTCAGGGGGTCCCAAAAGGGGATCACGTGACTCCGGGGACACTGAGACTGTCACAAATACAGGCCCGGTTGCCAAGCGGCCAAATTTTGATCACGTGACCACGGGGGACGACACAACGGTCATAAGTGTGAAAAATGGACAGAAATCACCCTTTTTCCCCGTGCTGTTGTAACTCCGAACGGTAACTAAACAAATGGATGTAAGTCGAAGACTATCTATATATTAAAGAAAATATAAATGTGGGTATGCATGAAGAAAACCAGAAGCAATTTGTATACAAATTGTATACATGTATATGCCTGAAGTAGGCTGAGTTGTTTCTCTGTGTCATATAAAATACGTGGATATATGCATAATTATGTATTTATGTATTTTGTCATGGTTATGTAGTATATATTGAAGGTGGTGACACTTTGAGAGCTGCATGCAATGAAATTTCATTTTAATCTATGCTGATTAGTGTACATTCAAAATGACAATAAAGTTATTCTATTCTATTCTGTATTTCTATTCTATACTGTATTTCTATTCTGTATTTCTATTCTGTATTTCTATTCTGTTCTGTATTTCTATTCTGTTCTGAATTTCCATTCTGTTCTGTATTTCTATTCTGTATTTCTATTCTGTTCTGTATTTCTATTCTGTTCTGTATTTCTATTCTGTATTTCTATTCTATTCTGTATATCTATTCTATTCTGTATTTCTATTCTGTTCTGTATTTCTAATCTGTTCTGTATTTCTATTCTATTCTATTATTACTATTCTATTCTGTATTTCTATTCTATTCTGTATTTCTATGCTGGATTTCTATTCTATTCTGTATTTCTATTCTATTCTATTATTACTATTCTATTCTGTATTTCTATTCTATTCTATTCTGTATTTCTATTCTATTCTGTATTATTATTCTGTATTTCTATTCTATTCTATTCTATTCTATTCTGTTCTGTTCTGTTCTGTTCTGTTCTATTCTATTCTATTCTATTCTGTATTTCTGTTCTATTCTGTATTTCTGTTCTATTCTATTTTGTTCTGTTCTGTTCCATTCTGTTCCTTTCCATTCCTTTAAATTGACATTTATTTATTTTTAATGTCAAAGGACAATAAACTCTCTACAATTAAAATTTAAAGAACTGCAATGAGGGGCATCTGGAAGAAGAATATTTATAGTGAATTACTGAACTTTCCAGTCACTGATGTGGCAATGTCCAAGCAATGCAAAGACTCCTTTGTAGCTAACTAAGAATACATTGTCCCTGGATTTGTCCAGTTTTATGTATAAGCAATACTTTTTTCACCTGAACTAATACTAGTAGTCCTATAAGCCCCTTATTGCGGTGTGCTGCAGGATTTTTTTCCCTTTTTTTTTCTGGCACTAATCTTCAAGGATTTAGCTTCTTTGCCACATACCTCAGGGCACCAACTGATAAAGCCTTAACTCTCCGTTTTTCCAGGACACCAACAGAGCAGCCTTGCAAAAAATGAAAATCACTCAAGAGATTTAAAAAAGGGGAGGGGGGAGAAAATTTATTGTCGAAATCCTGACTTCCAGCAAAGAGATGGAACGACTTTTTCCATCTTTTTTTTTTTTAAAAAGAGAAAGAAAAAAGAAAAAAGAAAGAAAAGAAAAGAAAGAGAAAGCTTATCTGTGGAGATCAGTTTTAAATTTTAATTTTGTGGTAGGGACTCTTTCATGCCAGCCTGGCTTTAAAGTTTTATCTTTTGACAGGGACTTTTTACCAAAGCTAACAGGAAGCTTTGTCAATGTAATCTGCCCAAGCTTATATTGCTTTCCTATAATACAATATATTTTAGGAGTATAAAGGGTAGATTTCTTTTTAATCACTTGTAATGGTGCATTATAGTCCTAATAGTGTACTGAGTTGTTCACAGTAGGAGACGAGAACTAGTTATAAAATGAGGGGAGAGCTGTGTTATTTTCCTATTATATTTTTCTAAGTTCATTTTAATCATTCAGCACTTTAAGCTGCAGTTTGGAACAGAATCCTATCTTCTCTCAAAATCTACTAATATATGAATGCTGCAATTATGACGACTCCCCTCCGCAGGTAAGGCAGGCATTGAGAGATATCTATTTATATACGATTTCTTACTACTTGGGAGATTTACCCTATCAAATGTGATTATTATAAGGATTTATAGAGTGGTTTCTTATGCCAAAGTATCCGACCTAGGGAAAAAAAACCCTAAACAAATGAATAAATAGAAGGAGCAGTGAGAAGGAAATACCAGGCCAGATAGAAGCGAGGGAGACAGATTTGAACACAGATACTGAAATCCCCTTCTGTCTTCTTCGATGAACTGGCTCCCCCCCACCCCCACTGCACCTCTATCAGATAGCCCGATAATCTTATAGTTGGAGCGAAATTTGTCATTCTTTCTCTCTCTCCCCCCCCCCCCCCAAAGATTCTCCTTTTTCCCTTGGTCTCTGCATAGTTTACTTTGAAACAGACCATTTGAATCTTATTGGTGTTTTCTACGGAGAGTTCACATCAAACTCAAGAGGTTAACCAGTTTGCTGGAGGAGAAATGAGAAAATCCGAATGATGCTGGTTCAGGGATTCTGGGAGTTGAAGTCCACAGGTCATAAAAGCTGGTGTAGATGCCCACCTGCCCACCTCTGCCTTAGGCCAAGGGTGAAGATCCTGAGTCCCCCTTTCAATGGCATCTCTCACCTAACCTGACTCCAGATCAAATGCGATTTCCTTTGGAGGCCCCCAAGCCCCTGGCTCCATATACTCTATTTATGACCGTTCCATTTTATTTTATTTCTTGCCTAACAGGATGACCCTGTAACTGCCTAGTACCATTGAGGCTACAAGGTCAACAAGGCAGGGGTGGGCTTCAAAATTTTTAGCAAAGGGTTCTCTGCCCGGTTGCTGGGTGGGCGTGGCCTAGTTGGCCTCATGCATCACGGCGCGGCTTTCCTCGAGCCTCCGGGAGGGCGAAAACGGCCTTCCCGGGTTTCGGAGGCTCTCTGGAAGCCGGAAACGGGCCCGTTTCTGGCCTTCCTGAACTTCTGGGAGGCCCGTTTTTCATCCTCCCTGAACCTCTGTACGTGCCCTGCACTTACGTACATCCAAAACGGCCTGCGTGGGGGCTCCTGGGAGAGGCGGGGCAGGGCCAGCCAGGAATGGGATATGGGGATTCTCTGAATTGTGCAGAATCTTAGCTAGGGGCTCCCCCGAACCCCTGTGAACCCCCAGCAGCCCAGCCCTGCACCAAGGCCACCAAGAAAATATCCTGATTGGCAGAACACGATCTCTTAACAGTAGCTCTTCCATTAGAAGAACTCGCAACTGGGACGTCTTCTCTAAAGTGGCAGCCGAAGAAATGCCCAGGTTAAGAGATTGGGCTTATAGACCAAAGAGACCCTGATTCAAATCCTCCCTCGATCGCAGACATACACTGGATAACTTGGGGCCCAGTCGTTCTGTTTTAACAAAGTGTGCCTTTGTTGTTGTGACAATCCTTAGCCCTCAAAAAAATGGGTGGGACAGAAATGAAGTTAGTCATGAAGAAAGAACTCATGTGGTGGCAACTAAATTGTGGTGCCTCTAAGTGCCTTTAAGATCAACTTATTTTCCAAAGCACCCGAAGGGCAGACAAGGAATATTGGATGGAAACTGATCAAGGAGAGATTCAACCTAGAAATAAGGAGGAATTTTCTGACAGTGAGAACAATCAACCCATGGAACAGCTTTGCCTTCAGAAGTTGTGGGAGCTTCATCCCTGGAGGCTTTCAAGAAGAGACTGGACTGCCCTCTGTCGGAAATGGTGTAAGCAGAGTCTCTTGCTTGGTTGTACTAGATAACCTACAAGGTCCCTTCCAACTCTGTTATTCTAAATCTAATTCTACGTCACACCCCTGTCGGAATCTGATTCTGAGGGGGAGGCCGAACAGCTGACAGGGAGTGGGAGTGTGGCTCCATTGGCTGTGGAAGAAATTGAGGAAGCTGGGCAGAGCAGGGGAGAGGTAGAGCAAGGCAGAGGGATCAAGGCCCACCCCCTCTTCATCCTAGGACACGCAGGGAGGAGTGGAGAAGAGAGCAACATGAGTTGTGGGGCTTACGGGGAAGGAAAGGGCCCTGATTCCCTTCATTAGCTGCAGCTGGGAACACAGTGTTTAAAAAGGGAGTTTGCACAGCAACTTGTTGGAAGCAAATTGTGAGTTATCTTTCCAACTGTGTGTGTTTTGTTGGCCTTTGAAGTCTGCAATTCTTTATCCTGCCCTGTCCAGTTAATTGCTGCAGTGTGATTTGTGTGGATTTTTATTTACAGTTTATATGTACTTTGTTTTCAGACTGAATTTCTTTCACTTAAAGACTATTCTTGGGAGAGTTTTTTCTCCAGCCAAAGATAACTGGACATTGGGGGCAAAGTTGGAGGTATTAAAGGGATTTTTCTTACTTATATGACTGTATTGCCTTTGTGCCATGCTCCGGGTCACCACATTCTAATTCTAGTTCTAATTTTTTGTACTCTACCCTACCTTACCCCACTGTATTCTATTCAGGGAAAGAAAATGAAAAGTTTAGTTCTGACAACAGTGTAAAATTTGAATCCAATTTATGAAATGGAATGTGCACTCAAATTAGAGAAGCTAAACAGTGGCCCAAACATTATTTTGTACAGCATTATTGTTTCATCTTAACTTATTTGATATTATCTTTCTTTCCATTTATATAACAATTGACCTCCTGGACAAATTTAGATTGCAAATGTCTTGAGTGCTTGGGAAAAAGACGGTTCTTAATATACATAACTCTCTACTTTGTAATTATTGTCACGCATTACCCTGCAATTATGTAAGCGCGTTCAGCATTGGTTTCCAGCGCTGAACGCACCTACATAATTACATAAACACTTTCCAGGTTTAAAAGGAGCTCTTGGGATGAAATGAAAGGAATATTACAGGTAGTCCTCAACATACAACTGTAATGGAACCTACCCACTATGATAATATGTCACGATGGTCACTAAACCAGTAAGTCATGTGACTGATGCAATTTTTTCTTCTGTGGCAATGATTAAGTGAATGCCATTGTCGTTAAGCAAAGCAATGCACAAGGTTTTGCCAAAACCGTTGTAAAACAGGGACACGTGACTGCAGGACGACGCTAACGGCCATAAATGTGAATGTTTAGTCACATGATCACGGAGGGCCCCCGACTGTTGGAACTTTGACACGGATCGTAAGTCCTCTTTTTCAATCCAGTCCTAACTTTTTCGGTATTGGTCATAACTCAAGAACTATCTGTAAAAGGTATTTTTTATAAAAGTATAAAAGCTGAGAAACCTACACAGGTGATTCTTGACTTAAGGCCCCAATTGAGCCCAAAACTTACGTTGTCAAGTGGTAAATTTGTTAAGGGGGTTTTGCCCCATTTTACGACTTTACTTGCCACGTGTGCTAAGTGAATCACTGCAGTTGTTGAGTAAGAAACACGGTTGTTAAGTGAATCTGGCCTTGACTTTGCTTGCCAGAAGGTCATAAAAGGGGATCACGTGACCCCAGAACACTACAATGGTCATACACATGAGGCAGTTGTCAAGCATCCGAATGCAAATCACGTGACCATGGGGAGGCTGCAACAGTCGTAAGTGTGAAAAATGGTCACAAGTCACTTTTTTCTGAGCCGTTGTAACTTTGGTCACAAAATGAACTGTTGTAAGTCGAGAACTACTACCTGGATATGGTCCAATTGATCCGCAGTCTCCCCCCTTTAAACTCCCGATTTAAATTTCAGAATCTTGCACAGGCCCTCCATTTTTAGGCTAATTATATCATTAAACTCAAAAAAAAAATTCAGCATATAATTTCGGGCCATGAGAAAGGTGAGCCTGACGATACCTTCTAACCAGTGGTGAGATTCAAATTTTTTTTTACTACCAGTTTTGTGGGCGTGGCTTAGTGGGCGTGGCAGGGGAAGGTTACTGCAAAATCTCCATTCCCTCCCCACCCCACTAACCTGCTTTCCAGCTCCGTTCTCCTGTGCAGGGCAACCAAAGGAGACCCAGCCAATCAGCTGGGACTCAGGAGGCACAGAATAGATGGGGGCTGGGCCAGTCAGAGGCGGCATTTGCCGGTTCTCTGAACTACTCAAAATTTCCACTACCGGTTCTCCAGAACTAGTCAGAACTGGCGGAATACCCACCTCTGCTTCCAACGTATGGGAAACTTACTTTTTCATGCTTGTGTTTCTCTTTCTCCTTCTCCTTCTTCTCCCGTTCCTTCTTCTCTTTCTCTTTCTCCTTCTCCCTTTTCTCCTTCTCTTTGTCCTTCTCCCGCTCTTTCTTCTTCTTCTTCTCTTTTTTGTCCTTTTTCTTGTCTTTGGGTTTCTCCTTCTCCTCAAACAGCTTCTCGGGAAGGACCGCAGAGGGGGCCTGCAGCAACGAGGGGAGCTTCATGGCGGCTGGGGTGCAGTACAACGGAAGGGGCAGGTCCTTGGGAGGGAGGACCAGTGGGACTGACAAACCTTTAGCCTTGTCCTTAGTTTTATCTTTTATTTTCTCCTTGTCTTTCTTCTCCCTGTCCTTTTTGCCTTTCTCTTTCTCCTTTTTCTTATCTTTGTGTTTCTCGCGTTCTTTTTTGGACCCGGGTTCTTTGATCTTGACTTTGGTGTCGTCCTCAAAGGACGACATTTTGAACTTGAAAGAATCCAGGTCGTCTTCTCCTCGAAGCAGGTCCTTCCATGGGAACTTGGCTTCTCGGCCTCCTTCCTTGTCTCGGTCCTTCTCCTTGTTCTTCTCCTTGTCTTTGTTCTTCTCTTTGCTCTTCTCCTTATCTTTCTGCTTTTCTTTCTTCTTCATTTTGGTCCTCAGCTCCTTCTTCAGCTTCTTCTTCACCTCCACTGAGGCCGCCTGTTTCGTCTTCTCCTCATAGATTTTGAGCAGAGGTTCCGGCGTGGGCGGAGAAGCCGATGGAGACGAGAAGTAGGGGAAGCTGGCTGGTAAATTCGCATGAGGGCCCAGGTTGGCTTTCCGAATCACCTCGTCAATCGAATCATCCATCGTCCACGAAATGTCCGAACTTGAGGTTCCGCCAGAAGGAGGAAGTGGGGTGATTCCCACTTTATTGAAGCTGCTGTTCGCCGAAAGGGAAGCTTTAGGGATGGGAGGCTCAGACACAGAAAGTCTTTTGGGGCTTGTGAAAACATCTTCTTCGGATTCAGACCCGGAGGAAAACTCAAACGGATCCGGATCGCGTTCGGCACACGCCCGGGCAATGACCGCATCAATCGAATCGTCGATTGTCTTGTCCGTCACTGTTAATTTCTTTGCCGGGTTCTCCCCCGTGGCTTTGGCAGGTTCCGCTGATATCGTCGGCACTTGCTTCACCTGGATAGTCTCTTTCCCCATCTTTTCGCTCAATACCACTAAGGGGGTTTTCATCGGGATCTCCTGCTTAATGGTGATTTGAGGGACGACGTGGAGTGGAAGTTTTGGACTTTTCGGGCTTCGGGGGCTCTTGGCCCTGCCAGGAGATTTTTTCTCCTTAGTTCCAATTTTGGGCGAGCGAAGGGGGCTGCCCATAACCGCCGGAGATGGGGAAACCTTGGGCGTTTTGGTCTTCTGCACCGGAGAGACTGTTTTCGCCTTGGGTTTAGGAAGAAGTGCTTTGGATTCAGAGGGTTTGGGAACAGGCAGCTGGGGCTTTGCCACCGGAGCCAGGACAGGTGGCTCTGGGGAAGTCGGTACCTGATCACCACCCTCTTGAACGCAAACCGGGGAAAGCATTGGCGGCACCTTCTGGGCATTGATCAAACTAAGAGGCTCGCGGGGCTCTGGGGTGACGTCGAGCTGTGTTTCTCCTTTTGTGTTGGTTAGTTTGGGTCGCTTGGCCGCCGGCAGTTCCTCGGATTCGGGACTTTCTAAGGGCCTCTTGCTTAAGTAATTTTCGTCGTTCACCGTCTCGTCTTCTTCCATCTCTCCTTCTTCCTCCAAAGGAACCTGCATGGCTTCTGCGGAAGTTCCTCCATCCGTTAGCACCTGCTCCTCTTCCTCCTCTGGAGTAAGGAAAGAGAAAAGAGAAAAGTCACTTTCAGGCTAAAAAGCCGATGGAGATCTACGGAGGTTCTCAGTTAATCAAGGTCACGGTTGTCCCAAAGGTGTTTTCTTTTTTTTCAAGAAGCAACTGGACTTTATGGTTGTTGTTGTTTTTCTTTGAAGACGTTTTGCATCTCCTCCAAGAAGCTTCTTCAACTCTTCTTTCAGAGCTGAAGAAGCTTCTTGGAAGAGAACCAAACGTCTTCAAAGAAATGTTTACCGACAAAGAAATAAAGGGAGACTAGGATAGATCGATTACAAGCTCTCATCAGCTAGCCATACCCTTCTGGGATTCGAACCCGGGCTACTTTCATATTAGGTAGATTGCAAGGATGGGCTGCTAAGCTAAGATTCTGTGCATTTTGGAGAACCCCCCAAATCCCATTCCTGGCTGGCCCTGCCGCTCCCAGGAGTCCCCACACGGGCCATTTTGGATGCAGGTAAGTGCAGGGCCTGCATGGAGGCTTGGGGAGGGCGAAAAATGGGCCACCCGGAAGTTCAGGAAGGCCGGAAATGGGCCCGTTTCCAGCTTCCAGAGAGCCTCCGGAGCCCAGGGAGGCTGTTTTTGTTCTCTCGGAGGCCCAAGAAAAGCCTCTGGAGTACGGGGAGGGCAAAAACGCCCCCCTGGCCATGATGCAGGAGGCCAACTAGACCATGCCCACCATGGCCACACCCACACAGCAACCGGGCAGAGAACCCTTTGCTAAAAAATTTTAAGCCCACCCCTGGGTCGATGTATTAACCTCAAAGCCAGGTTCGAATCTCAGAAGGGTATGGCTAGCTAATGAGAGCTAAATCGCTTGAAATAGATCTATAAGACATAAGACATAAGACATAAGAATTTATTTGTCATTACACTCGCAAGCGGGTGCAACGAAATGAGGTGCTCTTCCACAAAGTAAAAACTGGACAAACACCACTAAAAAGAAAAAAATTAAACTAAACACAACCAACCATACAATCATCTCTATGCAATTTAAAAATGTAAATACCCCATTACTCTCAGCCATTTAATTCCACAAAAATCTTATGACCCTGCATTCAAACTCAAAACTGCACTTGGATAAAAACTGTTCTTAAATCTGGTCGTCCTTGTTCTTAATACCCTAAATCTCCTTCTCGATGGTAATAGTTCAAAGAGCTGATGTCCTGGATGAGAGATGAGAGATGATGAGAGATGATGTCCTGGATGATCTAGACTAGTCTCCCTTTATTTCTTTATTGATGAAATGTAAATTTAACACAAAACTAGTTTGTCGTGAAAGCAACTGCCTGCGAAGGCCCCTGAACTGGGTCTGAAAGGCGAAAACGGAAGCAGTATGCTCCGTCCCATGATATACAGGTAGACCAGGTCACCCTGATAAAAAAAAAAAGTCTTCAAAGAAAACAAAACCCAGGGAAGTCCAGTTGCCTCCTGATAAAAGCACCTTTGGGTCACTTTCAGGCTGTGGGTGAGAAAAGAGTTTAGAGTTCATGAGGAATTGGCTTGCACGGAAAAGGCGGCTCATTGCGATGCCTGATCAAAGACTGAGGTGGCATTGCATTAACTGAAGATCAGAAGTACACCAAGAAAAGGAACCAACAAATAGAAATAGCACTTAAGATGATATACCGCACTCTCTAAGAGGTTCACAAGAAATGTTGCATTTCTATTTTATTTATCTGCCCTGTCAACAGGTAGTCCTCAATGTACGACCATTCGTTTGGAAATCTGGCTGTACTTTGGCACAGCTGGAGCTGATGCACCATGCGGTGCTTTTCCAGTGACTTGACTTACGGCGCATAAAAATCCCCTTTCATCAACTTTAAAGTGCTCAAATAAAACCCAAGCAATAGATACCATTTGAGAAAGAACCTGGCATTTATTCGGTGGGTGCATTTTTGTTATTTTAACAAACTTTGCTTCTTGTGTTTGGAAACCTCCCCCTCCCCCCGTCCAAAAATCTCATTTTATATTTTTGAGTTTGCCTTCAAGCCTTTCCTCTAGCATGTGTCAATGGCTCGATTTACGAGACTCGAGTCAAGAGCCTTGGGGTCTAAATATGAAGTTGTGCCAGCAGTGCAAATTAAGTAAAAAATAAATAAATAAATAAATAAAAAACCTAAGACAAGTTAAGCTTTGGCCGAGGCCCAGAGGATTTATGGCAGCAGGTCCAAAGTGGAGATTCTGCCTGAGGGGATAAAGCCTTCTGTTTTATTTAGCCTTCTGCAAGAATCAGAAATGTGTTCGTTCAGTTTTGCTTGGATGGACATGTGCATTTTTGTCATTTTTTAAAAAAAAGGAAGAGGAGGAGGTGGTCAACTTATTCTCCAAAGTACCTGAAGGCAGGACAAGAAGCAATGAATGGAAATTAATCAAAGAAAGAAGCAACTAGGACTAAAGTGAGGACAATCAACCACTTGTAGGTGCTTCATCACAGGAGGTGAAGAAGGAGGAGGAGGAGGAGGAGGAGGAAGAAGAGAGGAAGAGGAAGAGGAAGAAGAGGAAGAAGAGGAGGAGGAGGAGGAGGAGGAGGAGGAAGAGGAAGAGGAAGAGGAAGAAGAGGAAGAAGAGGAAGAAGAGGAGGAAGGAGGAGGAAGAGGAAGAGGAAGAGGAAGAGGAGGAAGAGGAAGAGGAAGAGGAAGAGGAAGAAGAAGAAGAAGAAGAAGAAGAAGAAGAAGAAGAAGAAGAAGA